TTACTTGTTTTACTTAAATTTTAATTTTGTATTTCTTAGTTTTATTATATATATATATATATATATATAAAAAAAAGAAGAATTTAAAAATTTAATAAAATAAAATGCTACTAATTTCCAATCATTGATTATTTCAATATTTCTATAAAAAAATTGTTTTAAAATTAAATTTTTACAAATCTTTTATTTTTTTATTTTTTAATTTTCAGATTATAAAGAGCAGAAAAATAAAAGTAAAGAATTAGACATTGTATTCGTCCAAAGCTGTAACTCTATCTGTCCTATGAAAAACAAAAAGTTCCAAGAAACAAAACGCTCCAAATTTCTCCAACGTTCATTCCAATCATAATCCATGTTCCTCCATAATCTCAATCTTCTCTCAATCGAGGGTATCATCAAGGCTTCATCCTCGAGTAAAAAAGAATATAAAGATATACAACGATGCATGAAAATAGAAGAAAGGTTTTGTGATATTCATTTCATCCTTTGCAGCTTCTCGCGTTGCGACAATTGATGCAAGGAGACAAGGATCATCCGAACGCGCCACTAGGGAATAATTTCAGACCGCCGCAGCCGCTTCATCATCGTCCCGTTCGAACAAACATCGACTTCAACGTTCAGGTAACCTTTCTCTCCCTATACTGTGTGATACACCAGCCTTTTTGAGCCTCGCGATAACCCCGTATAATTGTCTGGAAACTTTTTCCTCTTCAGGGACCGAAGAACTGTCCGACGATGAATAGGGACATATACTACAAAGGTATGAAAAGCTGTGTATCCCACGCCACGTGAAATGGGAAAAGTTCGTTCGGATACAAAGCTCGAATCACTGTTGCTCCCTCGTTTGCCGACTAATTTTCTATAGTTTTGCAAAAGTGATCATAGAGTTGGCCGATTCACTGATAACAGGTGTTGATGGGAATGGTAACACCGGAATGATACACAATACAGTGCAGGATACGGGTAACTTTTTGTGAATGAGTGAGCTATCGAATAGAATGTCATATTGATGCGAGTTTTCAAAGTTTTCAACGCGGAGAAGTGAAATGGAAAGTTTTTGATAAATAATATTTTGTGTATCGTACAGGATGATATTAGAAAAATTTATATATCAATTGATTTTTGAATGACTGAATAATTATAATGGACGATAGATTATATTTGAGTTGAAAAATCAATGAAAAGATTGATCTTCATTAATTTTCATTACTGTAAGGAAAATAATTTTTATCGCTAACTGAATCTCACTAGTTTAGTAGGAGATTTAAAAAATATCTGGATATGGTGATCTTTGAGGTTAAAAATAATTAATCTATTATTTATCGTCAGAATTTTAAAAAGATAGGGTCTATGAGAATGATTTTACAATTCTTATACGATATTTACTTTACTTTTCATTCATTTCTATCAAAATCAAACCATTCTTTTCAACTAATAATTTTTAACCAATCTTATCTTATTCTGGCTTTCGTATTCTAATGAACTTGATCTATCTTACCACAAAATATTCCATCATTATTTCTGTATTTGTTTCAGCCAACAGCTGGAAATAACCCCCTTGGCAAGTTACGGGGGTGGCTGGAGGTGAACTACGCTTTCCCTGGGTTAAACTGGAGCCACGCAGTTAAGAGGATAGAAACCCACTGACATATCAATTAATGAGCGCGACCAGTGGTCATCGTATCGATCAGATCGAGCAGAGGCCATCGTGGCGCGAATGGTTGAGAGGAAGAGTGAGAGAGCGTACGAAAGAAAGAGAGAACGAGCGAGTGAGAAAAGAAGAGAGGTCAGAATGTCGAGAAAAAGAGAGAAAGAGATTAAAAAGAAGAAAAATGCTTCGTTGTACTATTAGACGTGAACTGCCAAGTATGTTTCCAGTAACGAAGAAAAAAAAAAAAAAAAAACAACAAGAACACGCAGATACACAACAAGTACACAGAGAGACACGTACAGAAGATATACCTATATATAGATTACAATTTAGCGGAGATAAGGTTAAAAAAAAAAAAAAACGTAAGATTAACACAAGATATATTATTATACGTATATCGATCAACTATCGAAAAAGCTATGACTATCGTGGCCTGTGTCGAGGTCGTTGATGACGATGATGAATAGAACTAGGGATGGGGGATAGAAATGAAAGACAGGAGATTCTTTATGTATAAAAGATATAAAAAAAAGAAAGAAGAAGAAGAAACTAAAGATTTGTGCGTGATGGATGATCATGCGTACACGCCCACTCATTCCACCACTTGCATATACATGAATACATACGACATACATGCATACATACTATACATATACACACACATATCGAACGAAAGTTTATACTATATTCTTGTAATAAAATGCTGAAAAACGTAGACGGAAATGGCGACATCGAAACCCTATCTTCCGTGTACACATTCGTCCATGTAAGTAATCCCATCGATCTATTCCGCATCCCTTTATTTCACACGCTTCATCGACTTTGGGGATTCCCCTTCGAGTCTCGCAGCCAGCGCCACCACGGCTTCATTTGCGCTATTTAAGTTGGTCTTGGTCGATAAGTTAGAAATTGACCGTAAAAGAGGAATCAACAATGGTAAGATACCCCACTTCGTAGCTCAAAATCGTGACCGAGTATCGTCAACGCGTATTCCATCTTTTAGGTTATGTCTTCCAAAAGCGTGAAACAAAATTTATCCACCGATCGATATTCATCTCCGTGTTTCCCTTGCAACGCAATTTGATTGACGAAAATCGCGATGCTGAAAAAAACTTTTCGATTCAGTCGATGTTTACAAATTAGAAATTGGAGCGAGCGTTGGTCTAAAGCGAAAAGGAGGGGAGATCGAGAAATCGTATAGGAAAGATCCTTCGGGTAGGCCTGAAGGGGGCGCTAGCGTGAGGAAAAGGAGAAATTTTCATTCGAGCCAGAATTCGACAGTGCTGCCCACGGATGGTTATGCGGCAAGAGGATCGAAAGAGGACAGCTATGGGTAACGAGGGAGCAAGAGGGCGGTGAAACGAGCGTCCACCATGATGGGCGAGGAAAAGGAGGGGGTTCTGATCATAGAGGGGTATGAAAGAGAAGGGGAAGCAAGAGGAACAGATACCGGGGATACGGAGGCACCGTGTCTCTTGCCTCTGCGGCAAATCTGCAGGTTTCGTGTGGCGTGTGCGTGGCACGACGAATCGCGGGGATTTCGCAATCGTGGAAGCGTATGGTCGCGAAATGAAAAGGTGTTTTCCTCCCTTTTGAGTCTTTCCCGTGGTGAAAATCAGAACGCATTATTCGTGCATCCCGTTCGTGCATCTTTCCCTTGTTTCGTGCGTGTGGCCTCTGTGTACGTGTACGTGTATGTGTGTATATGCGGGATCATACTTGCCACCTCGTCTCTCGTGTGCCGTAGCGAGAACTCGGGGGATGAAGATCTTCAATGGAGCGGCGTGGTCGCTAGCTCTGCTCTCGCATCATCCCTTTCGAGATTCGAGGCTGGCCAAGAAGGAATAACGATAGTGGACTGTTGAGATGGTGGCTCGTTCTTATCCGCGAAAGGTCTTACACGACCGGATTGATTGATCGGCCGAGAGGATAATAGAAAAGAGCTCGTCGATGCCAGTCGACGACCCCGCGGACCAGGTGGGGGGTGTCCTCCCGTGAGAACGGGCGAATACACGTTCACGCGCCTCGAGACTACGCGTGGAGAGGAAGCTGACAAGTGCACCGTGTCGCGCTCCGTTTCTCGCTTTTCTGCGGGCTTCGTTTATTCGTTCAATCGACCCACGCGCATCAATCCTGCCAAACGTGCCCGTATACGTGATCTATTTTATTTTATAACCGCTCGTCGTGCTTATGTTTTCGCTCGATTTCCATCCTCATGTGAGAGAGAGAGCGATTGTTCGAAACCATTGTTCTTCGGTGGAAGCATAAACAAAAGGACGAGATTTCCTGGAGGAATAAAGAAAAAGGAGGGGGAACAAAGAAGAAACGGAGTTACGAAAAGGGGGAAAGTGGGAAGACGGATGAAGTAGGGATACAACGGTGTACAGTGTGCTCTCTCGCGTTTAATTTTTCAACGAGCCGAGTGAACGGCGCCACGATTGGTCAGACCGGGTCGCGAGGAACGTACGGATTTTTCGTCGCGTTCGCAGATTCTCATGCAAGTACGTGGTATAAGCGAATTTGCCGCGGTCGATGCACTCAAAAGCTCGCTCGGGGGAGTCGAGTGACACGTACATGACACCGTGAGGACCGTGGCACAGTCGATTCGAGTAATCGAGCGTCGAATCGAGCGTTGAACCACCAGCCTGGCCACCCCTGCCTCCTAACGAACCTGTATCAACCTAACCACGACCTTTCTTGCCAGTACGATATTTTTCCTCTCATAAGCTTTTATACACACGAGTATGTGATACTACGCGCTGTTGCAAAGTATCGAGTGATTATATTAAATTCGATATATAAAAATTCGATTAATTTCATGACGTCATATGTCATCGTTGATGGTTAATTGTCATTCGAAAATGTTTTGTTTTGCCAATCATGTATTATTATCGATTCTTGAGAACTTTCGCCTCATCGAGAAATTTCCATCGATATCGAGAGTCCTGAGCGAGACTTTCCGACTAATTTATGATCGATATAAATTTTGCGGCGCATTACGCGTGCATGCCATTAGCGCACGTCAGCAATTAATATGTCTTAGTGTGTGTGGCTCGAAGCACGTCTGTGGAATTTCCACAAACCTTCGAAATTCCTTGCCTACCTCGTCTTATAATTTTCCCTAAGATTTCTCTTTCTCGAAAAAAAAAAAAAAAAACCATATCGCGTTTCAATTCTCATTTCGAAACGACAAAATTGTACAATTGCTTCCTCTTTTCTTTTCCAAACTAAGAAGAACACGTAACGTAGAGGGAATAAGAAGATGCGTTGTAATCGTTGCAGGACGTGGATTTGTTTTCGTCGCAGATTAATCCTGGGGCCGCGCGCACACACAGTTGTAATTGGAAAAGTGGGCCAGCGTGGAACGGTCGGCGCGGCTTAATCAGAATGAAATCTAAGAAGTCCCGAGCAACAATGGCTTTGTGATGCCCGAAGGAGGACCGTCGGCGAAATGAAAGCCCCTGAGAAACAATGGAAGCGTCCACGCAGGCATGACGGCCCCATTCAGATTCGCAGACGGCATGCTTAGTGGCGGCCAAAGGAGACGCTCAAGTAAGAATAAGCCGAGCATCGTTAGAGAGAGAGAGAGAGAGAGAGAGAGAGAGAGAGAGAGAGTA